AGGAATGCAGCCGGGGGGGGGGCAGCGACCCGGCATGCGGCTGCTGATCTGAGGAGGGACACCGATCCTCAAGGACCAGCCTGTGCAAAAGCTGCCAACACCACAGCCTGGAGGCTTTGGGGTAATGAAGGCACTAAATAAAGGTGGCAGCCACTCAGACCGACTGCCAAGGCGATGCTGCTCTTCACGAGTAGTAGCAAGGGACCTCTTACCCAGAGAGGAAATCTCTCCCTGCACCGCCGTATGAGCTGGAGTTTGGCAGGAAGGTGGCAGAGGAGGAGAAGAGAGGGATGGAGCCAATTTCACCAGGATCAGCTCCCCCATAGGGGAGAAGCCTCCCTCTCTCATCTCCCTCCCCCCCCAGCAGAGAAGGGTGAATGGCTTTCACTTAAACGTGGCCTGCGCAAAGTTAAATGGAAAGGCTGACCCCCCCCTCCTGCAAGAAGGTGGGCCCCATCTCCACCCGAATGCAACCAGGCCCTCGCATATGATCCCAAATACCTCCCTGCAACCTCATGTGACTGAGGAAGCTGGGCAGGGAGGTCTGGTGGGAATCCCAGGGACCTCAAGGCAGGGCGAGAGACCAGTTGGAGGCACCAGGTCAGGGGGACTGAGGCGCTGCTGACTCCCCTGGAAGTCCTTTCCTATCTCTCTACTCAGGATCATAACCTCAGCTCAGAACCATGAGGACTAGGACCTTGGCCAGAGCAAAACTGCCTCCTGGGCAGGCAGAAGGTTCTGGGTTCAGTCCTTGGCATCACCTCCAGAAAGGCCCAGAAAAGAACCCTGCCTGCGGTCTCCAGAGAGCTACGGCTGTCAGTCCAGCCTGGATGACCCTAGGCCCTATGGAGATGAGGAGGTGAAAGGTCGGGCTCAAGAAGAGGTCAGCCCCCTCTGCTCCTCTGCCAATCCAGGGGCCACTGGGCTGAAAAGAGGGACGGGTGGTGACAGAGAATAGCCTCCGCTGGGGTGTGCTTCTCTTCCGTCCAAAAGGGCTACAGAGGGATCCTGGCGTCCCCCTGGAAGACGTTTGCTCACTCGTTGGCTCATCGCTTGCCAGGCCCTGCTTCATATGGCAAGCCATTTGGCTGCTTAATTAGTGGCTCCTGCACGGAAGGCGGCTTCCAGGCAGAGGAGGGGGAAACAGATTGTGGCAAGAGCAGTGAGTGACTCTAGGGCTGTGCAGCCCCTCCAGGCTTGACAAAAGGGCCAGGAGGAGGAGGAGGGGGCAGGCGGGCCGGTGGGAGGGAGGGAGTGGGACGGCCTGGCTTCTTCCCAAAAGAGAGGAAAGGCGCTGTTCTTGACCCTGCAAACACACACACCTCTGACCAAAACTGGGGGGGGTGGCATAAGCACCTGTCGGACCTGACATGGAGGGAGAGAGAGAGAAATATCTCCCAGGCTTAACATAGTCAGAGGGGCAAAGAACCAAGGTGAGGGAGAGGCAGCTCTCCACCCCTTCCTCGTTGCAATGTATTCTCCCCACCAGCCCCGGCTGGCATGAGGAGAGGAGGTGCAGAACTGGGGGGGGGTCCTTTCTTGGGACTTTGCAACGGAATGCAAGGTGGGGGCCCCGTTGAGTGCAACAGAGACCACCAAGCAGGGCGAGGCCGCCAGCCGCATTGCCACCGGCACCTCATGGGGAGAGACAAAGCAGCAAAAAGCGCAGAGGAAGGGATTGCTAAGAGGAAAGCAACTGCCCTCCCAGTAAAGAGCCTCTTTTTAAAAAAGGCTCAAGATCAGCCCACCCCACGGCTCCACTTCAGAGGTCTCTCTCGGACCGGCGGCCACTGCTCTCCGATCGCTCTCCCTCCGGCGAGGCTGGGCCCGGCGGCCCAGTGGTTTCGCTCAGTACAAGACCGCTTCACATGTTCGTCAAGCAGCCTGGGATTCTGGAGGAAGCAGCCGCCAGGAGAGAACTCTAGATAATGCAAGTTAAATATAGGTTATGTTCACTGCATTTTTACAAGTGCTAGGTAGGGATATTATCCAGAGAAAGCTGTCATTTTTAATGACAGCACAAGCGCCAATTACCAGGAAAGGAATACACTTGGGAGCTAGAAGGTTTTATGCGCCCCACCCCACCCCCCACCCCCTGCTTGAAACGGGGAAGGAGGAAGCGGCACAATGGTGGGGGTGGGGGGGGCACTCCGTTCTGCCAGCTCCTGAATTAGACGCAAATCGCTCCACCCGGTTGGTCTTAAGACGTTCCGCTACTTCACAGAGTGCCTGCGATACTTAAGGTGCATTTATGCAATGCTCGTACTTCACCTCATTATCAAGCCCATCAGGAAAATGGTTTCGGACTCGAGATACAGCTGGGGTGGCAGAGAAAAGAGAGGGGGCGGAAAAGCAGAACCAGGCTGGAAGGAAGGGAATGGCCAGGTGCAGCCGGCAGCTGGCTGCAGAAACCGCCCTCCTGGCCTGGGCGCAAGGGGAGGGAGCACAGAAGCAGGGCAAGACCGCCGCTCCACTTGGAAGACGCAGCAACACCAGCGGGGTGCCCGTCGCTTGCTGCTCTACGGCATGCAGCCCAAGGGGCTTTGTGTGCCCTTGCCGATCCGCTTGGAACTTGTCCAATGAGACAAGACAGACCCACACGGCTCGGGCGCAACACCCGGAAGGCCACCTTTTCGCACACGTGTAGCTCAAAAGGCGCAAATCGCCAAAGGGCCCAATCCCCTGATGCGGACGCAGCGGCAGCAGGCCAAGAGCGCAGGGCCAGGAGGGGTGGCCGAGACGGACCCCTTGCTCCCTCCCTCCCTCTGGAGGCGCTGGACTGCAAACCGCCCCCCCCATGACACGGAAGGCTCCCAGAAAGCTACCTTTGCTTAGACGGGTTCTGCCCACCACCGGCTCATTCTGCCCAGAGTTACCAAATCCTAAGAGGCCGCGAGGCAGACCGGCTCGGCAGGGGGTCCTTCCGGCCAGCTTCCTGCCCAGGCAGTCTCCCCTCCAGGGACTCAACGGACCTCCTGAAGCCAGGCCGAGTAAGGCTGTGGCGAGCGTGTATGTGCGCGCGTGCCCTACCAGAAACTGACTGCACCCCACGAGGAAGGGAGGGCCGGCACACCATCTGAAAAGCCGAGGCGGGTGGAGGGCGTTAGGAGAACACCTTCCCTGGAGAAGAAGCCCATTCAAACAAACACTCCTGCATTTCTTTGCAAAGAAACTGTACAATAGGTGGGAAATTTCTCTGAATGCTGGAGAATTTTAGCACCCCCGCAGATAAATGGAAAACCTTTGAGGAGGTAAGTGGTTGAGGAGGGGGGGAAATGGAGAGGGAGGGAGGGAGAGAGCAAGCACGCTCTGTAGCAAATGTTAAGCCGGACTGACTCACAACACGGAAAGGGATCGGCCGCCTTTGCTATAAATAAGGCCGCTCAGGCTGGCAGAAGATCGCCAGTCAATACAGCTTTCTCTCTCTCATTCTCTCTCTCCACACTGCCAAACTTCACTTTTAGGGAGTGTATTAATTACGCTGTCGATATCTGTCTGTTTCATTAGTGTATTAAATACCCCGATCAATAATATTTATACTGCTCAGAGCTGAGCTTAAGTGGGGGGCGGGCAAACAGCCTGAGAGAAATGGCGGTGGTGGAGGGGCGGGAGAGGTATTTTGGACCTACCGCGTTCAAAATGTCAGCGCAAGCCGCCAGGGACCCTCTGGGGCCTTTAATGGAGAGCATAAAGTATCCGAAACAGACAGGGATCAGCTCATCACTACCCGTTTTTCAGTCCTGGAACAAGAAGGCACAAGGGGATTCAAGGAACATTTCACAACTGGAAGGGAAATGGCTCTCTATCCTCTCCTCGCTGCCTCTGCTCCCCACCCCCACCCCGCAGCTTAGCAGGGACGATGGAAGAGGATGCCACCCGCCTCCCGCCTTCCCCACCCCACCCACCAGTGTGAAGGTAAAGCTGATCAACTGCCAAGCCTGGCTGCTCTTTATCGCTGCTTTCCTTCCCAGAGTGACAACAGGTCATGACTCCTTGCCTTTCCCCCCATCAGGACAGGATCAGTGGGGAAGAGGGCTTGGGTCACTGGGAGGGGCCGGCGGCGCCAGCCACGTCAGGGAGAGGGACAATATCCAAGACCTGCTGGTTCCCACACCCCGCCTCCTCCCCAGTCTCTCATGAACCGAGAGGACTTCCCCACCTGCTGGGTGGACACCCAGCCTCCCATCACATCCAGTTCTGGGGCGGTGGCGGGGGGGGGGAAAGGCAAATGGAAGGCTAGCGGGGCAAAGAGAGGATCCCAAAAACCCACCCATGTGTCTATCAGAAGTGCCTGTAACGCTGTAAATCAGCAGATGCTTCCTAGAGCAAGGTGAGAGGCAGCCATCAAAGTGACCTGGTAGGGAACTCCAGGGACTCCTGGGGAGGGCTCATGGTTGAGCAGCAGGTGGTCCCGGGGGGGGGAGGATGGGAGATGGGGTTTTCCAGAAGGCCAGGGGAGAGAGGAGGATCGTTCGCCTGTCTGTGCCCAGAGAAGGAAGAGGAGAAACGAGTGTGCAGCTCCACACGTGGACCAAGAGGGCCCTCCTGCGCCTGCCTGGCTCCCGAGTAACCTTCTGACTCACCCCCACAGACCAAGTGCAACCCCGCCCGGCTGCTCAGAGCTGTGCATTCAACGCTTTGCTGCAGCCCAAGAATGCATAATTAATGCGATCAGAAGCTCCGCGGAGCCCAGCCCGACTCGCTGGAAAGGCCAGCAACCCTGCTCCTCGTTCAGCTTCTGTGCTGCGGGGCCAGCGTTTGTTGACGGATCACTCTCCCACCCCATCCACCCTCCCCCCCCAGCCGAGCCCAATCGTGTTTCATGTTTCGCTCGCCAGCTCGAGGTGGAGAAATTTCCACTCCCCACACCCAGCCAACCTCAGCACCAATAATAAGGTAACATCTCCCCCAAGTGAAAACGTATTACGGAAACTAATTAATTGCTTTCCAGTAATGGAAAAAACACTGCCGTTTGCAGAAAGTGGAGCCCACAGAAGAGGCAGAAACTAAATGCTCTTTATTGAGAAAAAACATGGGGAAAGCACCACCCAACCCCTTTTGAAGGCGCGCTTCCCAGCCATTTGTGCTGGTAACAAACAAGCCTAAAAGGAATTTTGTTCACAGACAAACGCAAAAAAAAAAAAAAAAAGTTTTATATATATGGACAGGTAGCAAGGCACCACAGTCGGCAGCTGAAGGGAAAAAAATGAAATATTAATTGAAGTGAAAAACTAAAGGGCTGCTTTGTAGTTGCCGAGATTTCCCAAGGGGAGGAAGAGTCAACGCTTATCAGCTGCTCTCAGAAGAGACAATTTTGATTAATATCAGGCCCATCTGACTCAGTCTATTAAACCCTGAAGGAAGGATATTCTTCAGATAGAAGAGATACGCCTTTGATTAATAATTCTACCGTATTGCCATTCCAAGCATTAACAACTGCCTGGCACCTGTAGAAGGGAGAGAGGGAGGGAGGGAGTCTTTGAAGGCACAGGGAAGAAGGGGAAGAGAGGGGCGGAGGGCCCTCCTGGGAGCACTGAGGAAGAGAGCCGGCTGCGCCCACCCGGATCGCACCATCCAGGACTAGAAGCCACAGTTGCCTCCTCCTCCTCCTCCTCCTCCTCCTCCAATTGGAGCCTTTGGGGAATTTCAGGGTGAAAAACACAGGAGGCCTTTTCAACCTTTCAGGCCTCTCGTCTTGGCTAATCACAACAACAGGGCCCCAGCCCACCCCAGTTCTGCCGCCCTGGCAGACTCTCCCTTCCGGCTCAGCCCAGCCCAGCCCAGCCCAGGGAGATGCCGTGAGCGAGCACATCCTACGCCTGCCACACCACAGGAGTCGAGCAGGTCCGTCAAGAAAAGGCTGCCGGGCATTTTGGAACAGGCACCAACAAACAAAGGGGCAGCCGGAAGGTGGGATGGGGAACCAACTTAAACCTAGGTGGCTTATTGTTCTACAGAGGAGACTCAGTCCTGCCTTGAAGCCAGCTGGCCGCCTAGCTGGCCGACACCTCAGCCTAGCAGGGCGGCGTTCTTCCGGATAGCCGCGATGAGGCGCTTGCCGTACTCCTTGTGGTTGACAGGCTTCACCTCCATCGCGGTCGCCTTCAGGCGCGATTCATCCTTGGGAAGAGCAAGAGAAAGCTTCAGGTGAAGGCAAAGACCGGGCTGGACCAGCAGCGGTTTCCAGAGCTTCTGGCATTGAGGCAAGCCCAGAATCAACTGAGAAAGCTGGGCCAAGGGAGGTCAGGCCATGGGCGAGCGCAAGGTCCTGTCCTGTGGGGAAGGGGAGGGGGGTTCCGGGAGAAGGGAAGGAGGTGCCACGGCTGCAGCTGCGGAGAGGGGCGCAGGCCACGTGTCCCAAGGTGGCTCAAACACACACAGCCACCGCCTCAGGCTGCAACCCTAACCCTCAGCCTCCAAAGGGGGATGATAGGACCAGCCTCTACGGACAAACCACTCTCCGCCAACTAAGCGTTAAGGAAAGAAGAAGAGCAGCAGTCATGCTGGGAGCAAAGGGAAACCCAGCCCTACCACCACCACCACCAGCAGCAGCAGCAGGTCTCTGGGGTGGGAGCAAAGGGAAACCCAGCCCTACCACTACCACCACCATCAGCAGCAGCAGGTCTCTGGGTCTTTGGAATACATCAGCCGGAGACATTCGGATGGGGTGCTGACCGAATCTGGGCAGGAGGGATATGAGGTTTCCCTCAGGGGAGGTCTCTAGGTAATGCACCGCCAGGGGCGATGGACTGCCACTCCCATAATAATCCCATAAACAGCCTGCCATGAGAGCTAGCTGTCTTTCCAAGCTGGGTCACCTAAAAGACTCAGGCCCCGTGACTCTAAAGCTATGAGTCAAAAATTGGGCTACGGAAGGGTTACGAATCTCACTCTCCTCACTGGGCTGCTAAAGCCCCAGGATGCTCTGGGCTCTTGAGTCGGCGCCACACCCACCTTGGCTGCTAGAGCAGACACAACCTCCATTCCAGCTTCCATGCAAGGGACAGGTCTAAATTTAGTTTGGACTCCTACAGACCACCACAAAATTCTCCCCCCCCCCCCAGTATGGGATGATCCAAGGGGCAGGAATGGCACACGGCTGTTTGTTGGGTGAGTTCTGCTCTCTCCTCCCCCCCACAAGCTTCTACAATGTGATTATATCTGTATCTTATTAGGCTTTCAAAGACAGTGCAATTTCCCAGAAGAGTCAAAATCCACAAAAGCAAATCCAGAGAGACTTCCAGTTTCTCCATTTTTAAGGCTTTTGGGGGGAAGTAGCAGGGGAGGGAGAGAGAGAGAGAAAAGGAAAGGAGAGCAAGAGAAACTTGCAGATCTGGCTTACGTTGAAAGTCTCGAGCTTGACTCTGATCCGGAATTCATAGGTGGAGAAGTTGGCATTCTGAAACACTTCTTCAAATGCCCGCTCATTCTGTGGAAAAACAAGAGCGACCAATGTCAATGGCTCCATCAGTCCCGAGGTCACTTTTGCCGGAGAAAACGGTTCCACTGTGGGGGTTGCAAGCGGGGAGGGGCAAAGGCAGAAGGAAACGAAATGAAAGAGGAGCCTTCTGCTCTTCTACAGAAGGAGAACTGCCGGGGCGAAGGAGAGGCAGCACTCAAACCCCAAAGGTAGGGGGGGATCCCTTTCCAGGGCCAAGCTGAAGACTGGCTGCTGGAACGGAGGCAATGTTGGCCGAAGGCATGAAGCACCTCAACAGCAATTAAAGGAGAGGCTTAATTACAAAACTCTTAAAATTGGGACAGGGGCAGGCGCCTTATCAGGGGCAGTCAGCCTGCCTTCCCAGCTTATCTTGCAAACCCCGTGATGTTTGAAGCACCAGCTCTTTCGAAGGGAGCAGATGAGGAAGGCCGGCTGGCTGGAGGGCTGGAATCCTGGACTGCTGGCGAAGACTCCAAGGGTCATCAAGTCTAGCCCGTGCAGGGATCCCACAGCACCAAGATCCCTGGCAGATGGCTGCCTAACTCCTGTCTGAGCACCTCCCAGGAAAGAGAGTCTGCCTCCTTCCAGGGTCACCTGTCCCCACTCACTGGTTCTCATTTCATCAGAACGTCCATCTTTCACATGACGACCCATCAGAAATCTAAAGGCGGCTGTCAGAGGCCCCCTCCATTTCCATTCACGAACCCCTAAGCCTTTAAGGGTCAAAATCAGGAGCTGAAATGGGAGCAGGTGGGCCAGGCCCATCCTTCCCAGTTGGGACATCTCCTCCCAAGCTCCACAGGCGGCTTGGCCTTTCTCAACTGGCACACGGCCATGAATCTGTACTAGCACTGACCTCTTCTCTCTGGTGGCAATGAAGAAGCCTCACAGCCTTTTAAGCTGCTCTCTCTAGCCTTACGTGAGGCAGGAGCGAGCTCAGAGAGAGAGTGAGAGAGAGATTCAGATTAACGGCTGGGCAGGCCGCGGTCTCTCAGCAATGTGGCCTGTGCAGACGCTGAGAAATAAATGCTCTTCCCGTGTTGCGCTCCAGCTGGCCTTTGCCCCACCAACTGGGTGGCTTTGAACGCGACAAGGCGGGAAGATACCATTCCCAGAAACGCCATAGGTGTGTCTTCCACCCCAACAGAGTACGGCACGCTCGCTGGCCACCACCTCCTCATTTGCAGAGAAGGGAAAGGGCAGAAATGATACTTTCCTTCCTAGCAGCAGAATCTGCCAAGGAAGAGGCGCCTTGCTGTGCAGAAGCCAAATTCCACCCAGCAAACAGTTTTATTCCACCAGCAGGAAGTCCTCTGGCGGCGCAGGCAGAGCCGGCCAATGGCAAATGCAAAAGGCAAGCTCTGCTCTCCACAGAAATGAAACCAACCACAGGACTTAAAAGGAAGAGGAGCCCAAAAGATGGGCCTTTCTGGAAACCCATCTGCTGCTGAAGGGCAACGTTCAGATGGCAATTTGTGAAAAACCTGGGGAACAGCTGCTGACTCCAAGACAGCCGGAAGGTAACGGGCCCACGCCCGCCCTGCAAAAGGCTCTCCATGACCCCTGCCCGGAACAGCAGCACAGCGAGTCACCTGACCTTTTCCTTCAGCTCTCCAAGGTACACGGTGTTCTGCCCCAGGATGGTCTCCGCAGACTCCTGGAAACACGTGAGCCACTGGTTCTCCTGAAAGTCGGCAATGTTCACCTGGGAGAGGAAGAGGAACACAAACCGTTAACAGCCGGGCACACAGCTGCGGAGGAGCCTCTGGGGGGACAAGAGAGGAAAGCCTCTTTTCCCCTAACCCCGGCCCCCTCCCCAAGGCGCCAGAATGTCCAGCGGAACATATCCAGAGGGCTGTGAACGAGTCCCTCCCTGTCCGGCCTGTCTTCTACTCCATTATTTGCTTAATTGATACCCCTCCTCTCTCCCCATGCAAGACTCCCTCCCCAAGGCGGCTCACAACAGAAATGAGAATGGACAAGGGAGGGACCTGGCCATTTAAAAGAGCAAGCGGGGTGGCACGTCTCCTGCCACTGAAGCTCCTTCTTTAGCAAAAATGAGATTTTAAAAAACCCACAACCTGTTGGCTGCTTGGGTAGGGGGCCTCCCTGCCTCCACGGGGTGGGGGTGGGGGAGATTCCTGGGTGGAGGGGCCAACAACCACAGGAGTCCCCCGAGGAGCGTGAATCCTCAACTTGCCCCTCAGGAGGGGAATGGGCCTTTTCTTCTTCTTCTTCTCAGACTCAAGGACTGGCTGAGATTTCTTGCGGCTGCTCTCCAACAACCCTCCTCATGCCAAGGACGTTCTTCTTTGTGTGTGCAAACCCCAGCCGCTTAATAGAAATTAATTGCACAGAACTGAGAGGGCTGCTCTTTAGCTTCAGGGACACTGGATAAAAGCTTGGGCTTGTTTGTTGCTGCCGCTTCTTCCCCCCCCCCCAAAAGCGCCAGTTGGGTGGGCGGACCGGCAGCGGTTGCTGCAGATGCGAACCTTTTACTTTTGAAGGGGAAAACCCAGAAGGCATTTGGTCTTGGGAATGGAGAATTTTGCACTGGTCTATAGGAGCCCAAAGGTGGCCAAAACCGACGCGAATCTTTGGCAGCATCCTCGTTCGCTCAGCGAGTAGAGAGGCACCGTGCTTTCAGGATCAAACAGAGCGAGGCTAGGAGGGCAACAGCCTCCACCCCCTGAAGGCCAGAGGAAACTCTAGGAACCAAGGGAACCTCCTTTCTGCATTTGGGGGGGGCACTTGATGGAGACGCTCCCCCAACCTGGAAGCGCAGAGAGCCTACCTCCGAAGCGACAAGAGGAGAGCAGGGGAAAGAAGCCACTGGGGGGCTCAGTGCAGCTTTTGGAGCCTGTACCCTTAAGTCTCTCTCCCGACCGTGAGGACACTACATATTTAAAGCGGTGCTCCAGCGTCATGGAGGAAGGAGCACCGAGGCCTTCGGGAAGCTTCCTGGTTTTGTCTGCTTTTAAAGTCAAGATGAACTTTGGAAACAGTGGTGGGAATGAAGGTGGGGTGAAGACACACCACAAGACAAGAGGCACCCAGGCTCTCACCAGCTCAACCGGCTGAGACCCGCCTCCAGCCTGGACCAGGTGGAGGCATCTTACTCTGGGCGCAAGATGGAAGAGCAAGGGATACCAAGCGCTGCACAGGCTAGAGCTGGGAGAACACACAGAGAAGCCAGCTGCGCCCCCCCCCCGGGGGGGGGAGAGGCAAGAAGGCCTCCCAAGGATGGCCCACGCCTGGGGGGGGAGGTCCAGCCAGTGGCAGCAGGTCCACCAGCGCAGCTATCTTGACTGAGGAGGAACTCCTAACCGCGGGTCTTACAGCCCAACAGCTTCCATGCACGGACACACACAGAGAGAGCCCTTCTGCAGCCCTGGAGCACAGAAAGAGCCGCCAATGCTTTCCTATAGCACAAGGCAACTCACCCCTCGCCCCTGCCCGAGAGAGGAGCAGAATAAACGAAGGAGGGAAAATTGGAGTAGCCACAATCCACCATCAACTTTTATTTTATTTTCTCAAACATTCTAATCAGGTGAGGCCATCTATTTGGAGAGGCTGTTCGTTGAGTCGCCCAATTAGGCAAAGCGAAGCCTCCAGCCGCCGCCCCAGCAGCCGCCGGCGCTGGGAAGGTCCCCTCCTCCCGGCTCCCTGCCTGGGAGCTTCTAAAGGCAAGTCCAAGGGCCCTAATTTCAGGGCACTTTTGCGAGTTATTTTCTCAAACATTCTAATCAGGTGAGGCCATCTATTTGGAGAGGCTGTTCGTTGAGTCGCCCAATTAGGCAAAGCGAAGCCTCCAGCCGCCGCCCCAGCAGCCGCCGGCGCTGGGAAGGTCCCCTCCTCCCGGCTCCCTGCCTGGGAGCTTCTAAAGGCAAGTCCAAGGGCCCTAATTTCAGGGCACTTTTGCGAGGCGAAGAGAGGGGGGAAGGCAGCAGTGCTCTGGGGCTGCGGGCAGGCCTCACAGCGGCAGCCCCTCTCAGACGCACCCGGCACCAACGCCGGCCCCATTAACGTGCGAGAGGCAGAACATTAGCGGCAAAAAAAGAAGGGGAAAAAAGGCAACTAAATATAGGGACCAGCTGAATAAGGGCAATTACCACCCCCCCCCAGAAACGCCATTCCGCATTAGCTTATCTTCCTGACAAAGACACGGAGGGGGCTCAGCAGAGGTTCTGCGTATGACGCAAGGACGGAAGTCAACGGGCCGGGCAGAAAAAAAGCCCCAGGAGGAGGGGCACGAAGACTCCTCACTCGGCTCCTCATCTGTGTCCGTTTCAGGCTGCCTCAGCGTGACGAGAGGACGCCAGGAGGAGCCGGCAACCCCCCCCCCCCACGAGACGCCTCTGCCTCCACGTGGGAGGAAGACAAGCCGGTCTCCTCCACCAGCCACGCAGAAGGCCCGGCAGCACACAACAGAGGTGGGGCAAAAGAGAAAGGGGCCTGGCACCGAGGCCACGGCCAGAAAAGCCACAGGCAAGGCACAGGACGAGGAAAAAGCTTAGCCCTCCAGAGACGAGAGCCCGCCGGAGGGACTCTGACCTGCAGAGTGAGCGTGGATTGGAAAAGGAGGAAGCTGCACCCTCGGGGGTCAGACCACCGGAACGGCTGCCTCTTTGACCGGCAGTCCCTCTGGATGGGAAGGGTGAACACTCCAGCACCCCATCCTGCACAGCCAGTGGCTGGGGAGGATGGGAACTGCCACCCCACACACCTAGAGGGATCCCAGGTTTGGGCAGTCTTTGGGCAAATTGCACCTGGGGACTGATCGGAGGCTACCAATGTTCCCATCTGCCAACAGAAGGTGCTCCACCCAAAATCAAGTGCCCCTCCCAGCACCTTCTGAAGGCCTGGAAAAAAATCCATGCTCAACAGTGACTGGTTGAGCAAACCCTGCCCCCAAGATGCTCTTGGGCACTTGTCTTTTCCCCTCCCCAAACTTTTTTATTTTTAAAGAAAAAGGAGCAGCCCAGTCCTCCCTCTCCCATTCACTCAACCCCAGACCAGACCAGACCAGAGATCTCTTCTCTGGCCACCAAGGATCTTCACTACAAAGAGGACGCGAGTTTGCCGCTCATGGCTTCTCCGCCCTGCCATTCTCCCCTATTCCGCGACTCACCGAGAGGATCATGCGGTACTTGAAATTGGGGAATTCCCGGTCGCATTTTTCACAGCGATAGAGCCCGTTCTGTTCATCGATCACTTTCTTATTGCAGTCCGGGGAGGGACACGCCTGGTACATGCAGTTCTCCTTCCGGAGATAGACCACCGTGCCCACACAGCTGAAGTAGTCGGCCTAAACAGGAGGACAAGAGAGTGGGACAAGATTTGTACTCCTGCATCCAGGAGCGGGTTGGACTTGATGGCCTTATAGGCCCCTTCCAACTTCACTCTTCTACGATTCTGTGATTCTAAGACGCACAAAGTGGGAGGGACAGGAGACTAATGATCTATTCTTTTAAGCTCTAGAATGTTCCAAAGATCCGCACGTGTCCTGCGAAACCCGTATGGGTAATCCATGGAGGCCACAAAGAACCTATGATTCTAAGGAGGAGGAGCAACCTGGGCAAAGAAGACAGGTTCTCTGCCCAGGGATCAGGATCCTCCGCAGGGAGGCCCGATCCTGCGGCTATCAACTCCCTCAACCCTACTGCGTTAAAATTAACCTCAGCTCCGACCCTCAACAGGCACCGCTACCGAATTCGCGTCCTGTTTAAAAAAACCTTAAGGGTTCCCACTTGTTGCTCCTTCGCCTCCCGAAGCAAACTCCCTGTGCTGAGTCGGGCACCGCGGCGCCCACGTTATTGAGGGAGAAGATAAAGAGCTGCATTCATTAGAACAACACCCTCCACACAGCACCTGAATGGAGATATTGTGCCGTGAGTCTGTGTGCTTTAATTGACTGATTAATGGATCAACTACTTAGAGAACGAATTAACTGAGCTGGCTGAGGAACACGCTCCGCTCTGGCATAAATACTCCCTGCTATTACGAATGTGGCACACGCAAGCCCGGATGTGATTTATTAAGAGCCAAACTGGCCTTCCTCCACCGGGTGCCCTTTGACTAGGTTTGGGGACGAAAATCCCCCGTTGTCTCTACCCCCACGGCGGTGTGAGCCGGAGTGGATGGTTGGACGGTCAATCTTAAAACACTAAGGAGAACTACTCCTGCTCATCCCTATTTCTCTAGACACAACAACTGGCCATTATGAAGACCGACATTTAAACGGACCGTCGTCTTTTTGAAGCTTCCCTCCGCTAGCATGACGTCAGTTCTAGATGTTGTGCCAGGCTTCGTCCTGTTCTGGCTCTGGACTGTTTCCAGAAGGCATGGCAACGTTTTCAGATGACTGCGCACAGCCAAGGTCGCAGGAAAGGCAACTGAGGTTGGGGGTCCATTTGCCCGAAGCTCATCAGGCCCATGGTGGAGTGGGGACCCGAACCAGCCCGTCCAGCGGGAGCAGTGGAGCCCAGTGGATCCTGCCTCGTCTCCCGGCCACCACCTTCCTACCCAACCTGCCAAAAGTCCCGAGGGAAGGGACAGTCCGTATTCTGGCTCCAGCCATTCCATGCTCCCACTTTACCTTATCTCCCTGCCCCAGGTTTTCTGCTTTGGCCTCGTACAGGGTCTTCCAGTATGTGTTTCCACCCGCCATGGGCATACCTCGTGTGCTCGAGATGGAGGTGGACTCCAGAAGCTGCCCTTCTGAATCAAACCTGGAAACAAAAGCAACAAGGAAAACTGAGATCCTTCCCGGTTCCGGGGACAAAGGCAGGCAGAATTTTATTTTTAGACTCTTGCTACATTCAGCACAAGAGGGATATTTTTTTATCAATGGAATGCACAGGAAACAATTACAGTAACTTGTGTATATTAGTCACCGAAATAGCATTTCAGGATAAGCTAATGCTCCATTTTAATTAGTGCAATATATTGTATAATGTCAGGGAAACGGGGACAAACTCTTGCTTGGCTTCCATGCACCAGCTAGTGGCCGCAGCTCAGCAGTGCAGCGGCTTCTAAAAGAGTCAGGCATCGGACCTTTAGTAAGGGGGGGGGGGAGCTACATGACACACTACCAACATCTTTGCGGACTGCTTGGGAGAGAAAGACAGACAGAGCTTAACAGATCTCTCAGGTCTGCCGTGGGAGAGAGCCAGACCCCCCCTGCCTGGCTGACAGGCAGGGGCCACCCCTTCTGTAACACACAAAAGAAGAAAGAAGCCTTGCCATTTAATTTGTTTTAGTAAACCGCTGGCTCTGTTTCACCAGAACCATCAGGCTCAGCTAACAAGCAAGAGACGGCTGCTCAAGCCGTTGGGGAGGGGAAGAGTAGAGCAGCAACGGCAAAGAGGAGAAATAGGCCACGGGCACTGGGGACACGGGGTGGCGGGGAGGAGCCACTTGCCTTCCAAAGTCCTTTGTTCCCTGCTCCAGCGCATGGATTTGGAGCAGACCAAGGTACCAAGAAAGAAGAAAGGGGGGAGGAGAGGAAGAGAAAAAGGTGGTATGCAGCAGGGAGGGAGGAGAGGCTGAGAGCGACACTTTGGTACTTGCAAATACAGCAGGTGGGTTTCGTAAGGCGCCTGCGGCACCCGCCAAGCACAGAATGGAAAGCTGCCAAAGGCTGGAGAGAAAGGCGCCAACCGAGAGGAAGCCTCTCCTCAAACAGCACAGAAGGCGTAAAGAAAGCAAGTCTGCTTGGCAAGAGCTGCAAGATCGGGAGAGCAAAAGGGGGCCATGAGAGGGAGGCACACACGCACACACACCCCTACTGTGGTGCAGTGCCGAGTAAGGCCTGTAGAACGGGCACCCAGAGTGGGCTCTCAAAGCTCAGCCCTGGCCCTTGGAGCCACGGCTGCCCCACTTCTCTGTGGCGAGCAGAGCAGGGTCCAAGGTGCGCTGTCCCATGTGGCAGCTCCAATGGCTTTCCCTCTCCCACCCCTGCCTATGCTCTCTCTCTCTCACTCACACACACGCACAGAGAGAGAGCACTCGGGGCTTTGAGGAGTCTGAGCTGAATGGGCTGTGGACAGCCACAGCCACCTCACAGAGCTTCTCCCTCTTGCAGGAGCCTCACTTTTCTTCCCTGATGCTCACGCCCACAAGGCAGCCGTGGACTCTTCGTGGATCCTTCTCTAGGACTCGCTAATGCCTGTGGAGAGCCACCCACGACGACCAGCCCACGCGTTGGTGTTCCAAAGCAAACAGGAGATGCCCGAAGAGAGAGAGAGAGAAGCAGCAGCCACCGCTTCCTTCCCCCCAGAACCCACCCACCACGTGTCCCTCCCACCCACTTTTCAGACGGGGCACCCATTCAAACACAGGCATGCTGCACCCGGGCGAAAGAAGAAGAGAAAGACACACAAAACCTCCCCACCCCCACCCCCCGGGCCACAGCTCCTCCTGTGTCTCTGGCACAGCCTTGATGGTGCCAAGAGCACTTAACAGGAACAATGCGCCGAACGAAACCCAGCGCATTCAAGTGTCTCTGTCGCTAATGGATTTTTGTTCTCGGCAGCACGCAACAGCCAGACAGGCTGGGGAATCGTGGCAACCCGCTCCCTTGCAAGACTGGGGGAGAAAGGGTCATGGCCAAAGCCTTGCCCAGAGGGGACCCCATTTTCGCTACAGCTAATTCAGGAATTGAGAAAGGCTCCCTCAACACGTGGTCCTTTTGTGAAGAAGCTGCGCTTTGGTGGCACCGCCAGGCCCCCTGCTCTGCGCTGCCAACAAGTGAAATGCCCTCATGGCCTGCTACCAAACGCCAGGATCAAGGCGGAGGCTGGGAGAAAGCAATTGCCACAGGGAATCCCATCCAAGGAAGAGAAGAACCTTATTCCTCCTCTCCCCACTTCGAGCCAAGGAGGAGTGGGGAAACCGGGACATGCCCCGGGCAGTCTCCCACATGAGGAGGCCTAGGCCTGCTTTGTTTCCAAAACCAGAGGAACCGGGGTGCGTTCAGAATGGTGCAGGGAGGCATCACCTCCGGAAACGACCACTGCATGCAGGTGGGGAGGGCGACAGAAAAGACCAGCACCTTCCTCCCTCAACCAACTGGGGCGAGAGGATGAACCAGCAAAAACTGCCAAGACCCCCCCCCCCGAGGATCAAGAACATACCATCCTCGCAACTTGAAGGACTCCGGGTGGTCAGGGTTGACAATGAAAGTGCTGGATGAAAGGACAGAGAGACTCCGGCCCCCGAAATCTGAGACACGGGCTCCTTTGATGGCCACCACAGGCTGCCGAGAGCCATCGAATTTCTCAGCCTGGTGGAGGAAAAAAAAAAAGGGGGGGGAGAAGACAAAGGAATCCAGGGTCACCTGTTAACATGCCAACGCAACAAGAAGCCCAGGGAGGTGGCGAGAGGCTTCTTAGAAATGCTCGACTGTTTTAAGCCACCTTTTCCCCTGGCATGGCTGTGTGCCAATGAAGGCTGCCCTCCTGGAGCCTGACTAAATGTCCAGCTCTTGAGGAGGGGGCTGCTGGGTGACCAAACCATAAGCATGACAGTACTGGCCGCACTCAGAGACATCACAACCCCTGGACTCCATCTCCCACATACTCTCTTCCCTGCGTGCCGTACCCGGCTGTCCTCAGCCTGAAAACAAGGCCTGTGCTAGAGAAGCCTATGTGGCGAACGTCCGCTGGAACCCTCTTGGCCAGAGGGTGCTATTATTGGGGGAGATACGGAGGATAGAAGACGTGTCTTCCAACAAGTCTGACAGGCAGCGAACAAGACTCTGGAACAAAGGGAGCTCCTTGAGACCTACCCAGCCCAGTCCCCTCGGCTCTGAGTGGCAACAGGGGCTCTTCGGAGTCTCAAGCAGAGAGCGCCTCTCGGCCAGCGGGCGCTCAGCAGAGCGGGAGAAAGGCTGCTTTGGCAGCACAGAGGTGAAAACGCCCAGCCTCTCTCGCAGCCTGCCTTCTTCCAACCCCTCCTGCTACTGAGTCCCTTGGAGGAGAGATGCATTCAGGGGTTCAGGGCAGGACCTTCAGCATACCAGGGCCCTAGCCTGAACCAAGAGCCCGCCCCCCCCAGAGAACAACTACACCTGTTCTTAAGAGGCCTTGTGTGAGCCGCTCTATCGTGCGGTGGCACTAAAGGGGCTCCCCACGCCGTGGGGTGGGGGGATGGCCAAGGCCTCCTGAGAATGGGCACCTCGGCCTTCAGGCCACTCTCTGGACCACTTACTTCTGTCCCCCAGAGAGTGGCCGTCACCATCTTGCCAGACATGTCAACCAGGTGCACATCCCTCTTGGAGACCTCCCGGTTGGAGGTTTTAACAGTGATTTTCGTGGTGTCGTCGTAGCTTTTGCAGACTCCAATGACATCTGAAAGGTAAGTGGGAAAGGTGTCAAACCCACTGGGTTGGCCCCTGGGCCTGGAAGAGGGAGGCCTCCCAGGTGCCTGACTCTGTCTGCAAGGAAGACACCCCAGGGCCCTTCCCTCTCCCGCTCCAGAGATCGGCCCTCCTCTCCCTGCGAGGATGGACACAAAACCCACCCTGGGGAAGAGTTTGGAGGCGGCGGCGGTGGCAATGGCAGAAACGAGAACAAGAATGAAAGAGAGCGAGAGAGCTCATGGGGGACTTCATTCCCCTCCGTTATCAGCTGTTCATTAACACAGCGGTTTTGTTACTCTACAAGACCCAAAAATTGCCCGAACCTGGCATTTAACAAGAAGAGGGAGACAGAAAGGGAGGGAGCATTTTATATCAAAACAAACATCAGGTGGGACCCCGCACCGCGCCGTGTGGGAAGAGCAGCAGGAAACAGGGCAAGCAGGCAGGGGGCCCGGCAGGACCAAGGACTCACGGGGCAGCCCCTGTGCCTGAAATCCAAACTGCACACCTCAGCCAAACCGCTAGTTTGCCAGTCTTTTCTTGGGGGGGGGAATAACCTCTCCCTCCCATGCAACATGTGCCAGTAAAAGGGAGCTGGTTTCTCAGCAACAGAAAGCAGTGCTGAGAGTTTGCCAGGAGAGCTTTCCAACTGACAAGAGGGAGGGAGGTTTGCCCCTCCAGGGCCAAGGCAGTTATTTCCACCACCACCACCCCCCCATGAGGCCTTCCAAGCCACAGCCCGACTGACCCACAATGGAGTCCTTGTCCACCTTCTCCAAGTCGCTGATGGAGACAAAGTTGAACTGGACAGAGGGGAGGTGCTGGGCGTCCTCGCAGGGGATGACGGAGGTGTCGTTGGCGAAGGTGATCTCGTAGTCGTTTTTGATCGACGTGTACTGCTTGTTAGCGGTCTTCAGGTGACCCTTGGAGAAGTAGTAGACCTGCAGCGGAGAAAAGGTGGGGTAGAACCGGGACGGCCTCCTTCTTCCTCTGGCGGCCCCCACCGCCCCAAAAGACTGCGGGCTGGCTGCCTCGGCAGGAGGTTGGACTTGGCGACCCCGTCCAACCCGGGTTCCTCTTGATCGTGCCATTGTCACAGAACATTCCCCCGCCCCCGCCGCCGCCCCCCCCATCAGCCGGGGTAGGGAGTACCTTGTTCATCTCAAGGAGAGGGAAGAACTTGTCCACTTGCTCGTTGAAGGCTGTGGCTCTGATCTCCCCCTGAGGGAAGAATGTGGGAGATGGAAGGGTCAGGAGGGACATTCCCAGGCCAAGGCAGAAGCCCCCCCCACTGGTCCTGATCGATCCTCAGACGAGATGTAGGCGGAGGGCGTCTGCTGAGGATTAAAATGTCCCCCCCGCCTCTTTCTAACCCCAAGAACAAGGGAGGGGCAGTGACTCTGCTCTGCAGGCAGAAGGGCCCAGCCCCAGCTCTCGGCAGCCCTTCCAGGAAGGGCCAGGCCAGACTCCTCCTTGAACCTGCCCCCCCCCAGAGAGACGGGCCTGCCCATCAGGACTGGGCTAAGAGGGACCCCAAGGGCCGGGCTCCATCTGCGAGAAACCCCATTTCTTATTTTACGGAACTCTAAACCACTGGTTCTTAACCTTGGGTTACTCAGGAGTTTTGGACTGCAACTCCCAGAAGCCTTCACCACCAGCTGTCCTGACTGGGGTTTCTGGGAGTTGCAGTTCAAAAGCATCCGAGTAACAAAGGTTAAGAACCACTGCTCTAAACCATGCTCACGAACCCCTCCTCTCAAAAATAGGTACGTTTTGGCAACTTGAGAATGTGCGCGAGCATTGACCAACCTTTCAAAAACCAGGCGCTTAGATCCTTTTTTGCTGGCCTGTCACTTAGTAGGTCTCCTAAACTGCCCATCCAGTGGCAGGGTGAGGTCCTCTGGGTCTGTCTCCCTCCCGGTCCCTCCCCCTCAGGAAAGGGCAAAGAATGGGGAGCACCCCCAACCAGGAGAGGGGCCCTGGACCATGCCCTCTTACAAGTGGGCTAATTCCTGCCTCGAGCTCAGGAAATTAGGGGATGGCAATCATGCTTGTGCCGGCAGCATTCCACACTGCTGTGACAAGCCCTTCCCGAAGTGATAATTAAAAGCAGAGCGGGAGAACCAGCAGCTAAGATGTTTATGCAAGAAGAGTATTAAAATTGTAATAAAAACTGTCAGTCAAAAAACCTGAACCTGACAGCCCGACGGGAGGAGGAGAAGCACAAAACGAACAGCTGATGGAGACGCCCCCTCTGTTCCAAAAGACCCCCCCCCCCCGGTTCCCCTCTCTGGGCCCTAGCAGGACACTCCACAAACCACCACCACCACCACCACCGTGGAGGTACTGCTAATGGCTGTCACTTGATTAGGAGCTTTGAGTGACAGAACTTAAGGACGAGGCTTGGTTAATTAAGCTTCACTCCCCGCAAACTGAAGGCAAACATCCTCCTTGGGTTACATATGTATTTTCTAATTAAAGAGATGTTCTGTTTGGAGATGCTAATCGTTTACACGCCACCCCTCCCCTCCTTCCGCAGGGGAACCTGCAACCGGTGGTGGTGCTGTGGCAATAGAGCCGGCTGCCCAATAAAGGCACACAGGAACAGAAACACCAGAAGGTGACTCTTTCTCGCCTCCCCCCCCTTCTCCCCCAAACCATCATTCTCTCATTTCCTAAAGTTCACTCGTATAGCTACTACATTTCAGCAGACCCTGCTGTCAGAAAAGAACCGGTAGGCAGCCCACGTTAAGATCCAAGTCTAAATTTAGGGAGAAGCGCCCGACAGGAATAAATAAAAGTGAAACTATGGCAAGACTGAAGGTGCCTTTGGTCGCTGAATCCTTCCTCAAGAGAGGCCGCCGGAGAAGCCTGCTGCCGGCCGCCTCCTGTGAGCACGAGGGCAGCCCTCCTTTCTTTCCTCCTCCACTTACACTTTCGTCGACCAGCTCTATGGAGAACAGCTTCCCTTCCCCACGTGAGTTGCTCCACGTTCGGATCTGGCCCTTCTGAGTCACCCGGGCACAAATGGTCCACCTGGAAGCACAAAAGCATGAACTGGAAAGCTGCCCACCAAGCAGTCAGGACCTACCTGTGTCTTTTCTGGAAGCTTCCTAAATGTGGGGCCTGCAAGCCACCTTCCCGGTTAAACAAAAGACGACCAAAGCCGCCCCCTTCAGGCCAATGGAGGAGGCCCACCTCAGGGGGCAGCTTCTTGACTCTCACACCGGACTGCCCGAGATAGACCTGCCTCCCACTACCGCAGAGACAGCAGAGCTGCGCACGGCCACCTCCAGTGGCCCTCTTTGGAACTAGTCACGGACCTAGAGGCTGATTACCTCGGTCATGCCAACAGAAGAGGCACCAGGTCCAAGCACCCCAGGGAGCCAGAAATCCCCAGGGCATCCTGGCACAGACCAATGTGGACACACCCAGCCACAACACCAAAGAATGGGCTGTTTGGCCAAAAGGACACAAGCCATCATCTGGGAGAGCCTTCCATGATTCAAAGTCCTTCCACCACAACAGGGGCGGTCATGGCCAAGCAACAAGGGGCTGTGGAGGCATCTGGCAGGCAAGAAAACAAGCATCCACTGGTCGTGCGATGTCTGCCCTTGTGGTGCAGCACTGCACTCCAGACTCTGCTTGCAGCCAGAGGGGGTGTATGCGCGTGCGTTCACGTGAGCTGACAACACATACCCTTTCTCTGAGAACGCAGGATTCTCGGCCCACTTACTTGGACTGGTAGGGGTTCAGGCTGGCAATGGGCACCACTTTGGCCTGAGAGCCCCCAGGAGTGGTCAGGAAACTGGAGCTGCTGGGCTTCCCAACCATCTTGGCAGGGCTGCTGTATTTGGCTACGTTTCCTAAGGGAGAGGCACATCCGAAATTCAGTAGTTCAGGCGTAGAAGAGGGCCTGGTGCTTCCGTTCCTGCCAGCTAGTGACCCAAAACCAGGAGCACCCCTGCCCTGGTGCCCCTTTGCTCCTCTCTTGTGTCTCACGTGTGAAAATGCGAGGGAAGAGTAAACATGAGGCTGATTCCACAACGGCAAGCTTCCAGATTCATGGTTTGCTCCCTCCCTCCGGCATCCTTTTCTGTCCACAAGGACCAAGAGCACCGAGAGCCTCCCCCCCCCCCGATGAGAGACAGTCAGGCTTTGCATCCTGCTCTCCTGCCACCCTGTGTGAGGACACAGCGCCCCCACCAGCAAAACCCGGTACTGCAAGGTATCCGTCCGGTACTACATCTGGGCCATATCCGAGCCACAAAACTCAGGGCATGAGACATACTGTACACACGGTGGGGTAGAAACCAAATAAGCCAGCCCACCATTAAGAGGTGAGCTCCGCCTTTTTCATTAAGTGCAAAAGAGAGGACTTATCCTGCTTATAAATCAGATTTCTTTCATCTGTTTGATAACATTAAAAACTATGTAGAGTTATTCTTGTACTTGTCGTGGAGCTAACTTTGAAAGTGACTCTTGTCGCAAAGGTTTTTAATGTTGCGTCCAAGTTGCTAATCTTTAAGAGGCTACGAGATCCTTCAGTTTTTAACAGCTAAAGCTCAGTGTGATGTTACACATTTAAGTTATCAGCAATATATACAAATCGCTCAGCTATGTGTATTCCAAACGTATTCCTTTCCTCATTGAAACGAATATTTTGTCACAGAGTAGATTCTTCCACTGTTGTGAAAAAGATCATTCATAAAAGGCCAATACTGTTCCCCGCTAGACACACGTGCACAGTGTCCATACATTCACAAAAGAATTAGGCAGTTGGCCCATCACCTGCCAATGCCGCCCCCCCATCCCTTCATGTAGGAAACAATTAGTACGGGTGCCTGTGATAATTTCCTGCAAGCTCTGAAAATGACTGGACCAATCACCCTTAATGAAGCTCTGCTCTAACCTGACAGGGCCTAAGCGTCGTTTCTCATTTTCCATTCCATATCAGGTTCCTCGTTCAATTTGCTTTTCAGCTGCATGCCACCCTGTGTGCAGCAGCCCCATCCGCTCTTCCAACCTCCCCCTCCACCAAGCATATAAAAGGCATTTTAATTAAAAACATTTACAGCCGATAAAGAGACAGCAGGCAAACAGCAACCTAAACAAAGAGTGCCGGGCATTACGAAACCTGTTGAGGGAGACACATTCGGCCCTCAATCCAACGCCCCCCCCCCAAAAGCACCAGCACCACTGGCTTGCCAGCTTCTTGGCCTCCTTCTTCCCCCTCCACTTCTCACTGGACCCTACGGCCAGCAGTATCTAGTGATGATGGCACGCAGCGCAAGGGCTCCGTGAGGCCAGGCTGAATTTTGCAAGTAAAACACAATACTTCCCCCATCCCTAAAAATCCAGCAACCTTTTCTGTGGTGAAAGCTGCCATTTTGGCCACAGAGGCTGTTCACAGCAGAATCCCACCCTCACATGAGAGACAAGAGCAGAAAAGCCAGGCTGTGCCCCGCCCGGGAGCCATCCTTTTCTGTCTCCCTCTTCCGTTCCACTGACAGCCTTGCTGCCCTGCTTTGTTGTGACTCGCCCCACCCCAGAGGACAACTCCTTACCCGCTGAGCTCACGTTCTGCTGCAGGGGGGTGCTGCTGGCCACTTGGTTGGCTGTGGGCCCACCAGCCTGTGGGAGCGTCCCTCCTTGTCCAGTGCCTGGCACGATCCAAGGGAGAAAAGAACCACGACAGACACAAGAGTTAGCAGGCAAGTGCCCATGGGGGACTTCCATGCGCACCTCTTTGGAACGACCTCCTGCGGGTCTAAATAACTCAGAGAATGCCAGCAGAGACCAAGCCAAAAGGGTTCACTGAGAGTGCAAAGGGGGAAGGTCGGCCCCACTTGGCCGTGGGCTGTGCCGGCTGGGGGATTTCCTGAAGCTCTGTAAATGCCTCCTCCTTCCTACCCTGTTTCCTCGAAAATAAGGCCTAACCTGAAAAAAAGCCCTAGTATGCTTTTTCAGGATGCTCGTCATATAAGCCCTACCCCCAAAAGAAACCCTAGTTAAGTGAAACCCCACCCTCCACCATTGTACAGCATGGTGCAGCAACCAGAAGACAACATGACTGTATTTGAATAAATGTAGACTGTTATATATGAAAAAATAAAACATCCCCTGAAAATAAGCCCTACTGCATTTTTGGAGCAAAAATTAATATAAGACCCTGTCTTATTTTCAAGGAAACACAGCAGAACCACTTTCCAGGCTAGCTCACAAAGGACGGGAGGCCTGGCAGGGTGTTCAGAAAGGTGACTTTTGGGGCCTACGGCTCCCAGGACCCCACGGGCCGAAAAGGGAACTTTCCCAAATTCTAGCTTTTCCCTTTAAAAGCCCTCATTCTGACTCATTCCTGTCGTTTCTATGCGCCAGCGGTTCATGCGTTAATTATCAGCCAGAGAGGGGCAGAATATTTTTGTCAGTGTTAGGAGGGAGAGGTGTATCTTGAGGAGGGCACCGAAGGAAGAGAAGGAGGGGGAGCTAGAAAGAAGGTGGAGGAGCCACAGAGAGACAAGAGGACTCAGAATTAAAGTCTTTAGGAGAACCCCAGGGTGGATGTGTGCCATCCACTTGTCTTTGGGGCATCACAGGCTCTCTCTGATGCCACCTGTCTCCACGCCACCAAGGAACGGAGACCGCCCAACCAAGACAGAAAGAGCAGAAATGTGAGTGGGGCAAAAGTCCAAAAAAGAAACCCAGGCACAAGGCAGTTCATCCCAGATTTAAAAAAAAAAGATCTAATTTATCAAGAAAAGGGAGATCACATCATTGAGAAAAACAGCCTGGTAGTTTAGGCTCTAAAGCAGCACTTGGTTGAGCCAGTACCTTCCTGATGTGCTGGACTCCAACTCCCATAATCTCTGCCGAACACCATAGGGTTAAGAGAGCTGGAATTTCAACAGGCCTGGAAGGAATCAGACAAACAGTCTACCCTCTGGGAAAAGCTCCTTACCGTCTGCGTACGGCACCGGATTGCCGATCTTCGCAGCCATGGCATCAGCTCTTCTGATCACCTCTAAGTCCATCAAGATAACCACCCGCCTGCAAAGGGAAGCAGAGGCTCTTTCACTCCCGCTGCCTGTGTTGCATTTTTCGGAAGACTGGAAGCCAAAAAGGCAAAGGAGGACTCCTGATCTCAGGGGGTTCACTGGAGGAAACGGGCTGCTGTTCGTTCACACATGCACACAGAAGGAGAAGCCCAGATTCCGGTAGACCTTTTCTCATTGTTGAATCCTCGTTTACTGCTCACACCACTCTCATTCAAACCGGGATCCCTGGTTTATTTACCTACTTTTCAAGAGCAGCCCAAGGGACAAGCACCGTTCCCTAAGGGGACATGTACAGCACCTAACTGTGCCCAGAAGGATCCTGTCTGGTGGCCCATCGCGCCCAGCGACTTACCTTCCATCTTTTAGGGTATTAACAATGAACCGGTTAATCTGGCAGACGGCATTGGAGCTCAAGCTCTGGTCGTCCACCATCGAATTCAGTTGTGTTGCCAACATGAAGGCTGTGAGACGAAAGCGGAAGAGGGGAGAACAAAAGCTCTGACAAATCCGGTCTTTATGAGGTCAAAGTGCAAAAACAAAACCAACACGCAAGTCTTTGAAACGCTTTGGCCCTCCCACATCCGTTGAGACTCGCTGGTAAGCCGGACACAGGACTTTCCGAGTCCAGCTGAGCTAGCTCGTCCTGAAACAGACTATGTCAAGGGCCAAACCTGCCTGCAACCCACATGCTTTGACCACTGACCTACACTACCTCTCCCTACTTGTCGCTTAAATTTCTCAGAGTGGCTTTTTAAATATATTTGCGCACTCATTGTTCTTAGCTTTAATATTGTCTTATAACAATGTGTGATGCCTCTGCGTGCTAATTATTCTTAGCATTAAATACAGGGTTTTAACGTTGTTAACCACTGTTGTTTACTCATTGTTTTCAACTTTAAATGTTGTCTTTCAAAATTGTAAGCCACCTTGGATCCTTTTCAAGGAGAAACGCTGGGCAAAAATACATTTTAAATAAATAAATAATCAATACTCTCGCCTCATAGAAGTGCCTAGTTCAGCATTCCTACCCCCCACAGGGCACTCCCACTTACAGGAAAGCGTATTCACTCCATCGCTCATCAGCATTCGGTAACGTGGCGGTCCGTTCCCACTGGAAATCGGTCGGATGTTCTGGGTATAAAACAGACCCTTTTAGCCAGGTTCCCCCAGGAAGAGCCGTTTGGCATGGCATCCAATAACAGGGAGGAGTCGAGATAAACACAGATGACAAGCAAAGATGGAAGCACAAAGGGCTCCAGATCTTAAGAGGCAGCAGCTCTCACGCACATACAGCTCCTATCCCTTTGCCACTCCGAATTAGGATGGCAAAGTCTGTCCCTTAAGCCTAAATATTGGCTTGCTTGCAGCTCATAAAAAAAGAGCTAAGGCATTGTTATCAATCAAGACAGAAAAAGAACCACAACAGGGAATACTTACAATCAGCTGAAGAACAGGTTTCACAACGTTCCCTCCTTGCATTATGGCCTGGAAAAAAGACAAGAGAGAAAGAGGGAGACTGGTTAGCCCCTTTAAGGAGAAGAGGATAAGCCACTTGATCTCCACAGCACATTTCCTGAGGAAGATTCTTTTTCACCAGATTTTCAGATAACATCCCCAGAGGCAACAGTTTCAGACCTTCCCAGCTGACCGGCAATATGAAATCATGATGGAAAAGGCAATAAACAATAAAAGTTCACAAATATCTGTCATCTTATATCTCCTCTTACGTCTAACAAAGTGGGCTTGTCCATGAAGGCCCACATTAAAAAAATAATACAAAGTTAAGTCTTTAAGGTGCCACCATGTTTTTGTCTTTTGATTTGTTCTTTTCTTTTCTCTGATTTGTTTTTAGGTGTTCTTTCCCAATTTTTTCCTTAAATGGTTGCGCAGACTAAAAGGGTGCCTTCTTCTACAAGCTGCTGGGGGTGGGGCCACAGGCTGACAGCAAGACCAGGGAACCCATGGCCTCTTCTGCTCTTATAAAGCCTGTGCCTGGTGGACACAAGTGTCCCTGGAGACAAAAATATCCCTCTCCTTACATATGTGCGCCTTTACTTATGTATACACTTATATATGCAATGTGTGTGCGTTTGTGTATATATGATTTATCTCTGCATATGTGTGTATACACATGTATATGCACACATATATAGGTACATAGACGTTTACACATATATGTGCACGTATTTGCACACTCATTCACACACACAAGCACGTGTGTATACTGTACATATATAAGCACGTGGATGTGTAGATGTTTATTCCACTCTCATGGCCCATTTACCTAACTCTTCAGGAGCCAAACCGACAGACAGGCATGTGTGTATACACATGTATATGCACACATATATAGGTACATAGACGTTTACACATATATGTGCACGTATTTGCACACTCATTCACACACACAAGCACGTGTGTATACTGTACATATATAAGCACGTGGATGTGTAGATGTTTATTCCACTCTCATGGCCCATTTACCTAACTCTTCAGGAGCCAAACCGACAGACAGGCCGGGCTATCATCCTAGGGGAAGGGCGGGCAGGC